ACCTACTTAAGGTAAAATTTAGCGATCTTATGATGGTGAGCTACTTCGTCTTCGAGCTTAATCTACGATTATCTCTGTGTAGCGTAATATATATATATATATATATATATATATATATATATATATATATATATATATATATATATATATATATATATATATATATATATATATATATATATATATATATATATATATATATATATATATATATATATATATATATATATATATATATTTCATGTAAATCCACAATATATATGTGTGTGTGTGTGTGTGTGTGTGTGTGTGTTACGCTAAACAGGGATAATTGCCGATTAGCGATAACTTCTATGTATTTATTTTGGGGGAAACTTCTGAGTGGTCATAAACGATCATGTCGATCATAAAAATACCTAAAATTACCTACTTTAGGTATAATTTGTTCTATTATGATAGTAAACGACGCCTGAATTGAAACAAAAGACGCTGCCATTTACTAATTAATTTTCATTGAGTTATAGCAATAAAAAAAAAAGGTTATCCCTATTCAGCAAAAACTTCAGTTGCATTTTAAGGCTTAGTCGGCAATGATCCCATTTACATCTCAGCTGGGACGCATAACTAACTTAAAACATGATACTCGCCCGCAACCGGAGAAACACCTTATTAGGGTGGACACTTGTCGACTTATTTTCATAATTTTCCAATCTCAGTATTTATCTACTATTTTTCTTTTCGTTTGTTTTTTAAGTGTTAATGGCATGACCTGTACAATGTTTTAAAAGTACTGTTTAGTGCATCACAGAAGGTGCACACAATAGATAATTGATTTCTACCTGGTACTGTATATATTAGTCAAGCATTAAACACGTAAGTATTAGATTGTCAATAATTTCAGGAGTTAGTTTTGTTTATAACGCTTAAAACAACGTCAACATGGGTGTCACTTTTGTATTACTTCTGAATGCATAAGATTTAATACTTAGGTTTATATTTGGAAGTTGTGAACTATAAAGATTGTTTTGTTATTATAGTAATGTTGTGATGCTGTAAGGTTGTAAGCTTCATTTACTACATCAACCATCTATCAACCCCTTCACCACGGGGATGCCACTTTTAATATTCGATTTGGTTAACGCCAGACGATTTTATTCAGTACATAGATGATCCCCGTACACAAGGGGTTAAAGATAAACCTAGCGGTACACGGCATCGCCACAACTATGTTAACTTGAAGTTTCTACATATTAATGCATGTGTACGAAATTAGTAACACTATTCAACAACAACTAAAAATCCAGGCAGACATCTCTCTTATGAAATTTTTTTTACAATTTCCAGGCTGTTTTCCGCGAATGTCAGTGTGTTTCTTACTATATAAATTTCATCTTTTGAATATGCGATTTTGTTTTAATTTACAATTCTTCAATTTACGCCTTTTCTTACTGTATATATATATATATATATATATATATATATATATATATATATATATATATATATATATATATATATATATATATTGCTATGTGTTGCTTAACACTAGATAAATTTGAAATTCCCAATTACAAAAAAATTCTAATTGCACGTTAAACGATCTTCGAAGTATCGTGTGTGTGTGTGTGTGTGTGTGTGTGTGTGCTACCCTAAATTTGGCTTTATGATAATAGACGAGACTTTAAATGAAACAGAGCCAATTATGCATTAGACCAATTAGTTTCATTAAGTTATAACAATATAAACAAAATGTTATCCCTAGTCTATAACTGCCTTAGTTGCTTTTTAGACTTAATCAGTGATTATCTCTATTTAGCGTAACAGACACACACACACACACACACACATTTATATATATATATATATAAATATATATATATATATATATATATATATATATATATATATATATATATATATATATATATATATATATATATATATATATATATATATATATATATATATATATGCTGATAACCACAAGGAAAGAAGAAAACACGAAGTTCCCAAGCGCTTTCGTGTAATTCACATCTTCCGGGGTGAGTACAGACTAAAGAGAAATACAAATCAAGGTGTATATATACAGAGGAGGGTGAGACCAGGTCCACAATGGTCAGGTATTAGGTAATGACCCTACTAATCTTTAAATAGCACAGCAACGGTTGGTAGTCAGGTCAGAGAGTAAGGTGACCCAACCTTCTCACCTGGTTACAAATCTTCTTAATTACAAAATTGTCCAGTTTGTACATGCCATTACTCAAATTCATGTTGAATGCTTCGGTATGTCTAATTAGACTAGATTCTATGATGTTCCTACTATCAACTGAATTACATGGTAATATTGAGGAGGCATTATCCCAGTCAATGCAATGCTTGTTATCCCTCAAATGAACAAACAGAGCATTGGATTCCTGGCCTGTCCTAACACTGTATTTGTGTTGTTTAATTCTTGTTACAAGATCTTTACCTGTCTGGCCTAAGTGAAACAAATTACATTCCTTGCAAGGAACTTTATAAATGCACCAATTGTGTTGTTGGGGAAGTTCTTGATTAACATTTGTTTAACAGTGCATGAGTTTTTAAATGCCACATTGACGTTCCAGGTTTTTAGTTGTGAAGGAATGTGTGAGAAATTTTTGTGAAATGGTAATATTAAGATATTCTTATGGTCATGGGTGGGCTTGGGATCAGTTCTATAAAAAGTTTTCTTAGTAATGTTTAGGCATTTGTCTATGAAAGATCTAGGGTATTTAAAGTTTGAGCCAATATTATAGATATATTTATATTCCTCATCAATGAATTCCGGACTGCAAATTAAACAACACAAATACAGTGAGTAATTTGAGTAATGGCATGTACAAACTAGACAATTTTGTAATTAAGAAGATTTGTAACCAGGTGAGAAGGTTGGGTCACCTTACTCTCTGACCTGACTACCAACCGTTGCTGTGCTATTTAAAGATTAGTAGGGTCATTACCTAATACCTGACCATTGTGGACCTGGTCTCACCCTCCTCTGTATATATACACCTTGTTTTGTACGTCTCTTTAGTCTGTACTCACCCCTGAAGATGTGAATAGCACGAAAGCGCTTGGGAACTTCGTGTTTTCTTCTTTCCTTGTGGTTATCAGCATATACCTAGATCACGCGCACCTACAGTGATTTATATATATATATATATATATATATATATATATATATATATATATATATATATATATATATATATATATGTATATATATATATATATATATATATATATATATATATATATATATATATATATATATATATATATATATATATATATATATATATATATATATATATATATATATATATATATATATAACAAAAATGAGGCAAGTATTGAAAGGTATTTACATGTAAAAACTGATGTTTACACGTTTACAAAATATGATCATAAATATGAAGTGACATACTTATATCCCACACAAATAATTGTGTGAAAGGTCATAACAATATACCTAAACATGTTTACTTTTCATCTCAACGCCTTGAATGTTAACTGGCCGAACCATAAATGCCTTAATAAAGAAGTAGGTACAGTACACTCCTACTCTGACATCTCAGGTAAACATAATTCGTCAACAGTGTGAACCTGGGAGCCCAACCACCTTCAACACTGCGTACACTTGTTCTCTCCGTGTCCGTTCCATGTTGTTTCCTGTGTACTCATAGCAGCTCTGTCTTTGGCGAAAATGCATGATCAACAGTTATTAAATAGTAAGTAGGAATGAAACACGTTTAAATGATTGGGTAATTTAGAGGAGAATGTTATCGTTTAGCTGCTATGCACAATGTTGTCTAGACTGTAAACAGCATTAGCATGACATCAACTGTACACTGGGCTCAAGATGAGAGCTCCACCTTCAGACAACAAGCAGGCAAGGTGGTCACCACGACACACACTCTACGTGCCAAACAATAGAAGCAGAATGATTAACATTTATTACAGCAGCCTTTACAAGAAGGGAAAGGTTCGAAAAAATTTTGCAGCGTCGTTAGAAAAAAGAATAAATATTAATTGAGGTTAAATAGCCATTCGCTAAAGTTGAGAAGCAACAGGAAAGTCACACGAAACGGACACAGTTGCACGTGGAGGGGACGACCCACTCTCCCAGCGAAGAAGGACAACACTGTACCTAAACACTCTACAATGGGATACTGCACTTCTCTTTACAATGTTCCTGTAGACTCCTTACACTGGGATATACTGTACAAGTTACCCAAGCCTTCTTGTATATGAATGCTGTAGAAGCCATGAAAAACATCCCACAGACCTATCAATGATTTTGTGCAGGATGCCTGAGACCCTCTGTGACCCATTACCCAACTATAAATCTTACATAAACCTTCAACCTTACCAACATTAAGTTCAGTAAGCCCCGATAATACTCACTGGTACAAAAAGTGTTTGCTGTGTTTATTAATTGGTTCATCTTTTATCCATTAAAGGGTATTTTCACTTTCCCATTACATATCAACTTTCCATATAATTGCAAAATAAGAAAAGCAGTAACTTAATATGTGTGGAAAGCTATTGCATGTAACATAGCTGACTCATATAAGGTGAAGAGTGAAGTATTTAAGGAAAGCTCAGTCTTAAACTATACCCAGTGCATTTTGCAGCAAAATATATTATTTATGTCATGTCTTCTACAGAACTTAGCAGAACGGCTTCTTTTCTGGCACAAAGTAGCGCTCATCCAAGTATTGTTCAAGCAGAAGTAAGCGTATATTAAATTGATATTATAGCAAACGGATCAGCCACTGTAACTCCGCAGTGCTTCACCAACACGCTTATATTACAATTAAATGTTTGAGTCAACAGCAAAAACAGCCATCCCTCTGCTGTGCCAACACAGAGAAAACCCACCATATGCTCTTGCAGCTGTGGAGATACTCTAAGGATAAATATGCTTCAGTAGAGGGAGTGGCTGTCCGTCTGCTGACGTTATGTAATGTAGGAGTCTTACAAGAGAAACACCAAAGGTCTTTCAAATAACATGATGTATTTGAAGGTCAACAACAATTTGTATTGTTTACATGCCATGAACAAATATAATGAAATGGAATGTACAGTGACATAGACATTGTCCTCAGAAGCAAGAAAGACACATGCAGGGAGAACACAGACTGTGCTTGACACTGAAGTAATGGGCAGTGGAGCTCCGAGGTGACATCCAGCAATACTGGCGCCAAGGCCCGTTGTGCATGGTACCTACGGGGCGCGTGATGTACAGTGTTGGGCAGCAGCCGGGGCCCACACGCCCTCCTGCACTCTTCCTCACGCTGTACACCACCTACCCTCTTCTAACTACAATGAGTATAGCAGCTCAACGACCCGCTTAGTTACGGTATCCTCTGGGGAACCTCTTAGTTCCAACTTGTCAGGTTACACTGACTAACACACAATTTGGTAAGAAGAGAGTATAACAGCCCCCGCAAGAGCCTCTCAGACTCTGACACGCTGCCACCTCGAACTGGACCCTCCGTGGTGGCAGCGTGGGATCCACATCCGCCGTGGTGCACTGAATCAGCGCTCTAGTCCGCATTGAACATATTGAGCTTTGTTGTGCACAATGGCGGATGAGACTTATAATATATTGGGATGAGTACACCAGTAACACCGTTGAACACAGTAACAGGATTAAAAGGATTCCCATAGTCCATGCGTCTTAAACCTTTCCCTCAGGAAATTATACATTCATTATCCCCCTACATCCTCCATGGGAAGATATCTTTTAAAGTATGATGACCTAGATATGAAGTCCAAAATAAGCATGGATGGTGTCATGGGAAGATGCCTCCTTAGAGCATGGGGACGCAAGTGGTGGGAGTTCCTTTTAGGGAGAATGATATAGGCAATCAACTTCTGTTGAGATTAACTGGCAGTTCTTGAACCAATGAATGAGGTTCGATTTGGTTTAAAACTAATGAATTTGATATCCTGAATAGTAAATCTTTAAATTTAAATCTACTTATCTCTCAAACGTAATAATTTAAGTAATAAACAACGTCTGTCATCACAAGGGGGAAAATCATTAGGAATTCAATCTTCAATAAAGTTTTATCAAATGTTTTAACGAATTGTTCGGCTAAGTACGGACATAAGGCACAATAACTGAGGGAGGAGAGCAAGGTAAAGTGTGGCGAGCATATTTGCGGTCACTTGCAGCGTCGCCCGCCCTACGCCCCACAACCTGGCCAACTGGGGTTATTTTGGAAGAAACTGGAGATGGGACAAAAAATATTGTCGCGAGGTGCCAATATAATGCTCCACTCGCTACAGGGTAAGATATTTCTCTGTGATTTATATGTCATCAAATTACAGGCCACGGGAAGTAGTTCCAAATATCCTCAGGGAAGGATGACACTGAACCAGTTTTGTGTTACAACACACTTAACCTAGTCAACTTGAGGTACTTATCTTAGGATACTTCGTATTTATAATAGTTAAGTGCACTAGACTTGCCCCCTATCGTTATCACATAATGTTAGATGTGCAGATTTCTATTGTCATCTTGTAATCATATTTGATTTTCATTAGTGTATTGCTTGTTTAGTGGGACAGTTCTAGCATATGTAAGAGGTCTGGAGAGAAACACCGACCAACAGCTCAACACGAGAACCACAACACAGAACAACACTTACTTCCGGTACCGTCTCTGTATATCATACTTGCCTCTGTGTGTCTGACTCGTGATAGGTGAGCTTCCTAGATCCTCTAACAACTTTCGTGAGCGTGTTGGCATGTCTGGGAGTAAGGGCATTGCTGGTGTGAAGTCACTCATGCTATCACTCAAGCTGTCGGCCGTGAGAGGAGAAAAATCAGAGAGACGTTCATAGAGGGCTCCCGTGAACTCATCACTCTGAAAGGTGGAGGCAAGGCGAGCCATAGATCTGTCTTCTTCCGTCATGGGATAGTGTGAAGGAGATGGACCACGGGAACCATAGTAATGACGAGGAGAGGTTCGAGCCCCAGGGGAACTGCCGTATCGATTAGGAGGCGACCCTCCTGCCTTGTAGGGGGAGTAGCCACTGTAATAACCAGAGGAAGGGTCACGGGCGTCCCGGAGGATTTCGTCGATAGACCGTAAGACACTGGTGGTAGAGTCACGCGCGGATTGGGGCGGACTTTGATCATAAGGCCCGTAAGCTCTGGGATCTGAATAACCCAACTCGGCACTTTCCCTCAACCTCGCAAGGCGAAGCAATTCTTCATGGAGTCGCGAGTTCTCTTCTATTTGTTGCCTGCGGCGCGAGATTTCAGCTTTAATTTTTTGTTTCTTTTCTTCTCGTGATAAGAGATCATCTTCATCATCAGAGGCATATGGTGAAGGATGCCAAGATCGAGGTTTGCGAGATTTTCTGGCGGGCTTTTGTCGAGAAGAGCCAAAGATACCAGAATCGTTAAGTGTGCCACCTGGCGTAGAACTGCGACCCCAGAAGTCTGTAGCCAACCCACTCTCCGAACTGCGTCGCCCCGTGTTCCTGGGAATAAAATCACTGTATTATAATCAACATAAGAATGTCCTTGAGCGATTGTATGCATGAGTTGTGTAGGAAGGGATATAGTTTGTTTGATTAAAGAGTTAGGTGAAAATTGTGAAAATATATTACCGGTAGTGATATTTTGCTTATAATGTATATTCACGTGTAGCTACTGTGTGTATAATTGAATATTCAGTATGATGTGAATTTTATGTAATTTACAGCAACTTATAGCTGATATGTGAGGTTTTAGTGAAGAACACGTGGTGTAACTTGGTTGTGTTGGAGATTATTACTGGAGACCGTAAACACAGTCCAGCACTATTTTTGATAGATGAATGAGGATGATTTTAACTGATATTATTTTTATGAACAGTGACATAAGTTATGATTATTGATTTTGTCTCATTTTATTGCTCTACAATAAGTCCTCATCCAAAATATACAAAATCACTTAATCTAAGTAACATTTGGAAACATGTAATGAATTACATTCTAAGTCAAGTTTTTTCTACAGATTCCAAATATTTTGAAGACAAGCTTTAGTGGAATATCGTATGTACACCCATTAAAAAAGTATTCGGCACCCTTACCGCGTGATACAATATGACACGGGTGCCTAATAATATTTTAGTGGGTGGACATTATTCACACATGCAGCCTTATGGGTAATTTTAAACTGCATTCACCAAAATGATTTTCTGAAAAAGGCATACAAAAAATTATTATGCATTCTATTTTCTTAAAGAATCACTCAAATAATAAGAAGCCTTTATTTATTGTGAAACTGAAATGCAACCAAACTAATTAGGCCTAAATAAGTGCAGCTAATACGTGCCTCGTGAAGATGTAAGGAACAAAGAATTACTGCAGCAACACAGTGTAGATCTACACTTGTTTCTAATCTGTCTTGTTCTATACTTTCACACCAAGTTACAGTGTTTATGCATGAATGCAACCTACCTTATGACCCATTGGCAGTAGGTCCCAGTGTCTTGAAACTCACTCCTCTCTTAATTCGTTTTGCATTAATCAGTAGAAGATACAAGTGAGAGGATCCCATGTGTAATATGTATGTGTGAAAAACATCTGCAACATTTAGGTCATTCATAATAGTCAACAACAACTAAAAATGATCCTTAGATATTAAAATATTTTATAGCATTATTGTTATTGTTTTGTTGAATCAGTACGTTGTGTTTCCAAACCTCCTTTATGTCTCAGATTTTATGTAATCGTTTCTTCTCCTTGTGCTCGATGAAGACCTTCTATAAGACCGCAATTTACTATTTATCCTTCATGTTTTAACATTTATAAGCCCTGTGAGTGTAATTTATCCTACTCATGCTATCTAGTGATAAATAAAACTCACCTTAAATTATCTGCCTACCTTGTACTGCAGGATGATGATCTACATGTTTGTAAGATAATTAACCCACCTGCTTGGTACAGTTATAGTAGGTCCGGTAGAACGGAACTAGACAATGATGGTTACCTTTAGTGTTGCTTCTGTCCAGCACAGGTAATTTAAGATAACCTATTTGTTCACTCCAAGAATTATGACTTATCTACCAAGAAAAACAGATATCTTATGATCTACCTGTCCAGTATAGTAGGCTTATTATGACCTACCTGTCCAGTATAGTTGATATATTATGACTTACCTGTCCAGTATAGTTGATATATTATGACCTACCTACCCAGTATAGTTGATATATTATGACCTACCTGTCCAGTATAGTTGATATTTTATGACCTACCTGTCCAGTATAGTTGATATATTGTGACCTACCTGTCCAGTATAGTTGATATATTATGACCTACCTACCCAGTATAGGTGATATATTATGACTTACCTGTCCAGTATAGTTGATATATTATGACCTACCTGTCCAGTATAGTAGATATATTATGACCTACCTGTCCAGTATAGTAGATATATTATGACCTACCTGTCCAGTATAGTAGATATATTATGACTTACCTGTCCAGTATAGTTGATATATTATGACCTACCTGTCCAGGATAGTTGATATATTATGACCTATCTGTCCAGGATAGTTGATATATTATGACCTACCTGTCCAGTATAGTTGATATATTATGACCTACCTGTCCAGTATAGTTGATATATTATGACCTACCTGTCGAGTATAGTTGATATATTATGACCTACCTGTCCAGTATAGTTGATATATTATGACCTACCTGTCCAGTATAGTTGATATATTATGACCTACCTGCCCAGTATAGTTGATATATTATGACCTACCTGTCCAGTATAGTTGATATATTATGACCTACCTGCCCAGTATAGTTGATATATTATGACCTACCTGTCGAGTATAGTTGATATTTTATGACCTACCTGTCCAGTATAGTTGATATATTATGACCTACCTGTCGAGTATAGTTGATATTTTATGACCTACCTGTCCAGTATAGTTGATATATTATGACCTACCTGTCGAGTATAGTTGATATCTTATGACCTACCTGTCCAGTATAGTTGATATATTATGACCTACCTGTCGAGTATAGTTGATATTTTATGACCTACCTGCCCATGCCCAAGAGCCGGGCTGCCAGAAGGTCATCATCGTCCATGCAGTTGATAGCGGTGTCTCGGAGGGCCACGCCGTACAGGGACTGAGGGGAGGGAGGGAGGGGAACGCGCCCAGATTAAAATGGGGTAGGGGGCCATATTAACAAGTGGTAAGGGAAGATGAAGGTCACAAGTGGGTAGGAGAGAGATGCACACGGGACTGAGGCCACACTATCCTATGGCTAGATTAACAAAGGCTAGATAGCAAATACAACAAAGGAGTGGGCATGGATGTAAAGTGTGGATGATGGGGGGCGAAATAAAAGCTTCGGGTCAAGGTGAGAGACGGATGTGAATCAAGACTCATTACACAGTTGCCAGATTAACAAGATCACTAAAGGCCACGATGATGAACGACCTGCGTAGCACACCGCAGGAGGAAACAGTCACTGGGACAGATTATTAACGTATACGAAGTTAACAAAGGAGGAGGGGCGAGGGAGCAAAGCAGAGGGATTATATCAACAACGAGGAGAGGCCAGATTAACAAGGATTATGAGGCCAGATTATCAAGGATTAAGAGGCCAGATTAACAAGGATTAAGTGGCCAGATTAACAAGGATGAAGAGGCCAGATTAGCAAGGATTATGAGGCTAGATTAACAAGGATTAAGAGGCCGGATTAACAAGGATAAAGAGGCCAGATTAACAAGGATTAAGAGACCAGATTAACAAGGGGTATGAATCCAGATGAACAAGAATTAAGAAGCCAGATTAACAAGGATTATGAAGTCAGATGAAAAAGGATTAAGAGGCCAGATTAAAAAGGAATATAAGGCCACATTAACAAGGACTAAGAGGCCAGTTTAACAAGGATTAAGAGGCCAGATTTACAAGGAGTATGAGGCCAGATTTACAAGGAGTATGAAGAACTAGAATAACATGAGGTAACGTGGGGTGGGAGGTTACTAAACTAACTTGAGGTTTGATCCATTTTAACTTTGGATTAGAGAAAGATTAAAAAAGAGGGATTATAATGATATAACGTTGAGATATATAAATACAATTAGGATATATAAACAGGCTAAGTCGATATCAAGAGCTATAGGTTATATCATTAAAAGACCATGGTAGGGCAAGGGTTAATTTAAGTTAAAATGATATATTTACAGTGGTCTGGTTTATACTGATATATGGAATCGGATATATAACAACACAGAGAATCTAGTCATGAGGGGAAGAGTGGAGATTAAATGGGTGTTAACAGACACATTAACACGAGGTAGGGGACACATTAACTCTAGGTAACGGAAACATTAACACGAGGTAGGGGACACATTAACACGAGGTAGGGGACACATTAACACGAGGTAGGGGACACATTAACACGAGGTAGGGGACATATTAACACTAGGTAGCGGACACATTAACACGAGGTAGGGGACACATTAACACGAGGTAGGGGACAGATTAACACGAGGTAGGGGACACATTAACACGAGGTAGGGGACATATTAACACGAGGTAGGGGACACATTACCACTAGGTAGGGGACACATTAACACGAGTTAGGGAACACATTGACACTAGGTAGGGGACACAATGACACGCATTAGGCGACACATTAACCCTAGGTAGGGAACACATTAAGACTAGGTAGGGGACACATTAACACGAGGTAGGGAACACATTAACACGAGGTAGAGGACACATTAACGCTAGGTAGGGAACACATTAACACCTAGGTAGAGAACACATTAACACTAGGTAGGGGACACATTAACACGAGGTGGGGACACATTAACACGGGTAGGGGACACATTAGCTGGAGGTAGGAACACATTAACACGAAATAGGGGACATAGTAACACGAGTTAGGGACACATTAACACAGGTAGGGACATTAACACGTGGGACACATTAACAGGAGATAGGGACACATTAACACGAGGTAGGGGAACACATTAACACGAGGTAGGGGACATTAACACGAGGGGGACATATTAACACTAGGTAGCGGACACATTAACACGAGATAGGGGACACATTAACACGAGGTGGGGACACATTAACACGAGGTAGGGGACATTAACACGATAGGGGACATATTAACACTGGTAGACACATTACACAGGTGGGGACACATTAACACCAGGTAGGGACACATTAACACAGTGGGGACACATTAACACGAAGGGTGGGGACACATTAACACGAGAGAGTTGACACATTAACACAAGGGTAGGGGACATATTAACACTAGGTAGGACACATTAACACGAGGTGGGGACACATTAACACGAGGTGGGGACACATTAACACGAGGTAGGGGACACATTAACACGAGGTGGGGACACATTAACACGAGGTAGGGGACATATTAACACTAGGTAGCGGACACATTTACACACACATTAACACGAGGGTGGGACACATTAACACGAGGTAGGGGACGAGGTGGGGACACATTACACTTAGGAGGAACACATAACACGAGGTGGGCACATTAACACGAGGTAGGGGACACATTAACACGAGGTGGGGACGAGGGGACACATTAACACAAGGTAGGGGACACATTAACACGAGGTGGGGACATTATCACAAGGGGGACACATTAACACTAGGTAGCGGACACATTAAACCGAGGTGGGGACACATTAACACTACCAACGGGACACATTAACACGAGGTAGGGGACACATTAACACGTGGTAGGGGACACATTAACACGAGGTAGGGAACTAGTTAATACAGTAGGTAGGGGACACATTAACACGAGGTGGGGACACATTAACCCTAGGTAGGGAACATATTAACATTAGGTACACATTAACACGAGGTGGGAACACATTAACACGTGTGGGGACACATTATCACAAGGTAGGGGACACATTAACAAGGTAGCGGACACACATTAAACCGAGGTGGGTGACACATTAACACTACCAACGGGACACATTAACACGAGGTAGGGGGTGGTAGGGGAACATTAACATTAGGGAACACATTAACACGAGGTAGGGGACACATTAACCCTAGGTAGGGAACATATTAACACGACGTAGGGGACACATTAACACGAGGTAGGGGACACATTAACACGAGGTAGGGGACACATTATCCCTAGGTAGGGAACACATCAACACGAGGTAGGGGACACATTAACACGAGGTAGGCGACACATTAACACGAGGTAGGGGACACATTAACACGAGGTAGGGTACACATCAACACGAGGTAGGAAACACATTAACACGAGGTAGGGGACACATTAACACTAAGTAGGGAACACATTAACACGAGGTAGGCGACACATTAACACGAGGTAGGGGACATATTAACACTAGGTAGGGGACACATTAACAACAGGTAGGGAACACATTAACACGAGGTAGGGAACACATTAACACGAGGTAGGGAACACATTAACACGAGGTAGGGACACATTAACACTAGGTAGGGGACACATTAACACCAGGTAGGGAACTCATTAACACTAGGTAGGGGACACATGAACACTAGGTAACGGAAACATTAACACGAGGTAGGGGACACATTAACACGAGGTAGGGGACACATTAACACGAGGTAGGCGACACATTAACACGAGGTAGGGGACATATTAACACTAGGTAGCGGACACATTAACACGAGGTAGGGGACACATTAACACGAGGTAGGGTACACATCAACACGAGGTAGGAAACACATTAACACGAGGTAGGGGACACATTAACACTAAGTAGGGAACACATTAACACGAGGTAGGGGACACATTAACACTAGGTAGGGAACACATTAACACTAGGTAGGGGACACATTAACAACAGGTAGGGAACACATTAACACGAGGTAGGGAACACATTAACACGAGGTAGGGAACACATTAACACGAGGTAGGGGACACATTAACACTAGGTAGGGGACACATTAACACCAGGTAGGGAACTCATTAACACTAGGTAGGGGACACATGAACACTAGGTAGGGAACACATTAACACGAGGTAGGGGACACATTAACACTAGGTAGGGAACACATTAACACTAGGTAGGGAACACATTAACACGAGGTAGGGGACACATTAACACTAGGTAGGGGACACATTAACACGAGGTAGGGAACACATTAACACTAGGTAGGGAACACATTAACACGAGGTAGGGAACACATTAACACTAGGTAGGGAACACATTAACACTAGGTAGGGGACACATTAACACTAGGTAGGGGACACATTACCACTAGGTAGGGGACACATTAACACCAGGTAGGGAACACATTAACACTAGGTAGGGAACACATTAAAATGAGTTAGGGGACACATTAAGACTAGGTAGGGGACACATTAACACTTGGTAGGGAACACATTAACACTGGGTAGGGGACACATTATCACTAGGTAGGGGACACATTAACACGAGGTAGGGGACACATTAGCACGAGGTAGGGGACACATTTACACGAGGTAGGGGACACATTGACGCTAGGTAGGGAAGACATTAACACTAGGTAGGGGACACATTAACACGAGGTAGGGGACACATTAACCCTAGGTAGGGAACACATTAAGACTAGGTAGGGGACACATTAACACGAGGTAGGGAACACATTAACACGAGGTAGAGGACACATTAACACTAGGAAGGGAACACATTAACACTAGGTAGGGGACACACTAACACGAGGTAGGGGACACACTAACACGAGGTAGGGGACACATTAACACTAGGTAGGGGACACACTAACACGAGGTAGGGGACACATTAACACTAGATAGGGAACTCATTAACAAGAGGTAGGGAACACATTACCACTAGGTAGGGGACACATTAACACGACGTAGGGGACACATTAACCCTAAGTAGGGAACACATTAACACGACGTAGGGGACACATTAACCCTAGGTAGGGGACAAATTAACACGAAGTAGGGGACACATTACCACTAGGTAGGGGACACATTAACACGAGGTAGGGAACACATTACCACTAGGTAGGGGACACATTAACACGAGGTAGGGAACACATTACCACTAGGTAGGGGACACATTAACACGAGGTAGGGAACACATTAACACGAGGTAGGGGACACATTAAAA